TCACGTTCCACTGGTGTGGCCATGTAATTTGGACATTTCAAAACCAAGTGGTCTAACACAGACTCAAGCTAAATGTCATTAAGTTCTGCCTGTCCCCAAAACAATTGTGTGTTTATCTGAATTTGGCTCCCTTGGCTGGCCTTGAAGGCCATCTTATCTGAATTTGCCTGGAGAAAATGTGATCTGACGCTCGCCACCCCCTCCCTGAGGAATTTTCAACTGATAACCAGATGATACCGGCTGACTAAACTTTGTGTCATCATTTCAGGACTCTTGGATTCACATAGATTATCCTTGGCCATTCCCCAACATACCTCGAGAATGTTTATGGATCTCACCACAGGACACTGGCTGATTATTATATCTTTATCAGAACTCTTACAGTGACCTCGAGAGCATCTATGAACATCCCCCCCCCCCCCCTGCAGAATGTCTACATCACTATGTGCTTGTTTGTGCGAGTTGTTTTTTAATATCAGAGTTTTTCTTCTCAGGCAGGAAGAAAAAGTCTGATAGGAATTTTTTCACCTCCAATTCCTACATGTGTCCTGTTTCATCACTTTTTGTCTGTCCAAACAGGTCTCACTTGTAAATGAGTCTTCTAGGCTCAATGCGACTTATCTGTCTAAATAAAGGTTGAATGAATGAATGGCTGTCAGGGCAGGGGTCATGAACAGAAAGGCAGAGGACCAGATTCAAAATCCAAAAATGTAATCTGTGAAGCGTGGTTTTAATAGAGGAAACAGCGTGCGTTACCATGGCCAGAGAGGCAGACAAATCCAAGAGGGGCAGGCAAGGCAAGGAGTCTAAAAACAGGCGAGGATACAAGGCAAGACAAGACAAGAGCAGGGCACAATAAACTATGAATGACTTTACAATCCGTGACCAAGAGTGGTGTAATAATTCGGCAAAGGACAAGTGAAAGTGGAACTCTTTAAATAAGTCCAAGAACAAGTGCAGTGAGTCAGGGCTGATAAGCTGAAAGTGCAGAGGGTGCATGGCTAATGACAGAGAAGAAAAACAGCATGATGACAAAGAGGAGCAGAAACATGACATGATGGGGCTGTGAGTGT